ATAAATGAATGGCAAGAACTCAAACCAAACTTTCATGCCATTCGAATCGAATTGAAGATTCCGCCAACAATCCCTAAGATTTTTTCTGAGACGTGGATGCCGTTTTCTATCAGAAACAAAATTAAGTATTTATGTAAAATTACAGGTTCGTTCCCTATGAAGTGATGTTAGGCTAAGTTTAGCTAAATCACTGCTACGATGGAGATAGGGGGCGATGACATCAATATTTCTTTGTAGGATCTTAAATACATGTATGGGTAAAAACAAAAACCTTATTCTTCTTTTTCGAATATCTGCTTTTGAAATTTACAAAAGATGTTTGGGTACGTCTTTAATGATAAAGAAGCAAAAAAAACAATGTACTATTCGTAATTCCTATGTCTTCTTAACACTAATTTTATTTTTATTTCATATATTGCTCTACAGTTTCCTCGTCGGTCACTTGCGGGATAATACTAAATTAACAAGCAAATAAACTACACTATAATTAATTAAAATATGATAGAAATGCTGTTCTTATGAATATTCTTGACTGTTGAATAAATTGATCTTTTAATATATGCTATATTGATTATAAAACACCCTTAATTCGTTAAATACTTTAATCTCTTTGATTTACGTGTGATGGATGAAGAGGAAAAAAAAAGGTTCCTTTTTCTGCTTAATTTCTTGACTCGACTTGCAATGATAAAAAGAAATGTTAATTATCTTCCAAAAGTCATAAAACTGGAATATCTGCTTGCAAAAATTTGAGGTAACTTCGTCCAACAATCATTCTTTCCCTTCCTCAAAATTACAAGTAGATTTTGAAGAAATTGAAGTATCATGAAGTCGAAAGGGGAAACTTTGGAAGAGTTCCGGTCTGATAAAGTGGCGGAGCCAGAATTATCCCTAAGGAGAGTCAAAATATAAATAAATAAGCATATGAAAAAGTTAGGGAAGTCAACACATAATATATATACATAAAAATAAAATATTTAACCTATCTACGCGGTATAATTTCCCGACGGAGTGTCAATTGACTCCCCTAGCCAATGAGTGGCTCCGCCACTGTTCTGATACCGGCATTAAACGGTCGAAAGATGGGAAATTCGGGGAATTTGATGGTAAAAGTGAAGTGGGTTTTCTGGAAAATTCAAAATTAAAAGTGGAAAGGCGAGAAGTTTGGAGGAGTTTTGGTCTGATTCTGGCGGCGAAGGGTCGAAAGATGGGAAAATTTTGCTGGGTGTGCACTGGAGCCTCAACATGCTCGTCTAATACCTGGTCCATAGGTGGGTCTGCTGCAAATTGCCCTGGCATGGTCACGAGCTCCCGTGGATGCTCCACCTCTGCTGTAACAGTGCGGCCCCTAGCAGGAACTCTGGCCCTACCCCGGCCTCTGCCTCTCCCAGTAACTATGATGACAAGTTTGTAATTTCTTCAAGCTTATGTTATTACAATACTGTTTTGCATCAATTTTAGTGATAATTATAGCAAAGAAACAGTAATTTAATGATTTATCTGAGTCTTAGTATGGTGCTTTCTTACACATTTCAATACCATTGTTCATTTTCTTTATTCATAGCAAAGACATTAACATCCTATCTCAACCTCTCTTTGGGAATCCTTGCTATTACGGGTTTTCATGTAAATTATAGCGGAACAAAATAACTAAATAAGGGCTTATGTTTTTTCACAATTCTTTTATGTTAATAAGAGGAAATTATTAATGATAGATCTGGTTGAAAAGGGACAAGCACAAAGCTTGAAAAGATAATAATTGTGAGTTGGGAGGTCATAACAATTTCGCACGACCATATTTCATTTAGTTGAGCTGTCTATATCCGGGCCAGTCTTTGTAAAAAGTTATCTCTTTTGCCATTGCTTACTAATCTCCCAATCAAAATCTAAATGTTTTTCTCTATGATTATTCTATAGTAAGTTTGACAAGAATCAAGCTTCTTCATGTCCCACCCCTCGTGAAACACAAGGTATTATTAGCTCGTTGTTCTGATTTGGTTGTTATACTTCTATAACTGTGCGATTGAATCGTTCATATTCTCTTTTTGTTGGAAATGTTTAGTTGGCTGTGTATTTTGGTGATTGAAAGAACTATCTGTTAGAACATGCGCAACGAAACAACCATATAAACCAGACATCAAATACATGTAAATTAGACAATGATGTAATTGCTAGATTAGAAGCACTGATCTCTTGAAATCGTTGCAAAGGTTCTTCACACAGCAAGAATCCAGGGCTGCAGTCTTCTGCTATGATCCTCGTAATACCTTGGACGGATATGCTTTGAGTGGGCAAGAACAATACAACTCTAAAAGGTGAGTTATTGGGTGAAAATTGTCTTCCTTAAGTAGACACGTTTTCAGCCAAAATAAGGCTCTCAAAAACGTATAGGATTCTACTTGCACCTCTAACTCTACCGGATGACTTTTCTCCCAAATCACTTTTTACCCAGGTAAGTCCAGATTTTTACTAGGTATAGCAGGGACCACAGAAATAATAAGAGGATACTAATTATAGTATTAATTCAAAATTTTGCATGAATTAATTCTTACTATAATTAATTGCAGTTTATTCCACTAAAAAACTGCAATTGATCTCCTCAATAAAAATTTCAAAAATTCACTAACACTTATTTTAACTCCCCATGTTAAGATCCCAAATACCAGTTAATTAAATTAAATCACTGAAAATTTAATTTAATCAACTAATTAAATCCTTTATAATTCCGCTTAAACTATTTCATGTGACGGATACAAAATTTACCGGCCAGGTTTTCACATGAAAACTTATAAGCTTACATGAAAGGAGTATCATCAAACTCAAAACCGAGTCATAGATTCTATCAACTAATTATTATTTTACAAATGTTATTCGTTATTGTCCAATCTATTAGGCATACATTAACTCTGAATAGGATTGTACCTTCTGATAAATCAAAACAATAAACAAATCACATTGATCATAATAATTATATCCAGATTAGGAGTATAAGCTCATTTTAATGAATTAGAGAAAATATTTTATATATATTCAGTATAAAAATATCTTTTCTCTACTTGGTCCGTTCAATATACACTCTAGCACAAGAAATTGGCGTAAAGCCACTCCCATAATCAAGACAAATTATACTATAATCTTGTGCTACAATCATCAAGATATTTTGTCCAATAATATCTTTGATTGTGAACATAGTTTATTAATTATGTGAACCGACAATTTACTCTTCTGTGCATGAGCTAAAACTCCATGCACTAAATTGTCTACTACATAACTAAAAGGACACACATGTAACAAATGATCTATTTAAAAAAGTACTTTATTGAATTGAATAAATTAAATAAATAATTGTTCCATAAAGAATTAAACAAAATACTATGTCTAAACCATATGGTTAACAGTATATCCCAACAATCTCCCACTTAGACTTATAACCATGCGTCTACTACTCTAACACCCATTCCTTCTACATGCTTGCCAAAAATCTTCTCTGGCAAGCTCTTTGTAAACGAGTCTGCCAAATTGTCCTCTGACGCAATCTTCAACACTCTTGCATCACCTCTCTGATTTATGTCTCGAATTAAGTGATATTTACGCTCAATATGATTACTTCTTTTATGGCTTCTTGGTTCCTTCGAGTTTGCAACTGCACCACTATTGTCACAATAAAATACAATCGGTACTTGAACCGAAGGAACTACATTAAGCTCTTTTAGAAAGTTTCCGAGCCAAACATCCTCTTTAGCTGCCTCAGATGCAGTCACATATTCAGCTTCCATGTTGGAATCAGCAACACCTGATAGCTTGATGCTCCTCCAACTTATGGCTCCACCTCCTAGGGTAAAAACATATTCTGAGGTAGATTTTCTAGAATCTCTATCTGACTGGAAATCTGAATCAGTATAGCCAATGGGTGCAAGATCACCTGAGTGATAAACCAACATATAATTCCTAGTCCTTTTCAAGTACTTGATTATATGTTTAACGGCAGTCCAGTGTTCTCGTCCAGGGTTAGACTGAAATCTACTAATCATGCCAACAGCAAAGCAGATATCAGGTCTAGTACATAGCATAGCATACATGAGACTCCCTACAACAGAAGCATAAGGGACTGCCTTCATCTTTTCTATCTCATCAGTCATTTTTTGGAACTGATCTTTCAACAGAGAGATTCCATGTCTAAAAGGGAGAAAACCTTTCTTGGAATCTTGCATGCTAAACCTGGTGAGAATAGCGTCAATATAAAGTGCTTGGGATAAGCCTAATATCCCTCGCTTGCGATCTCGCATAAGCTTGATCCCAAGGATATGTGCCGCCTGTCCCAAGTCTTTCATATCGAAACGTGATGACAACCATTCCTTTACTGAATTCAACATGCTCACATTATTTCCTATGAGCAAAATATCATCTACGTACAAAACCAAAAATGTAACTTTATCTCCATCCCACTTCTTATAGACACAAGACTCATTTTCACATTGATCAAAACCAAAGGTTTTAATCGATGCGTCAAAACAAGTATTCCATGCTCTAGAAGCTTGTTTCAATCTATAAATGGATTTCTTTAATTTACACAACATGTGCTCATTGCCACTTTTTATGAAACCAACTGGTTGTGCCATATAGATACACTCATCAAGACTTCCATTAAGAAAAGCCATCTTGACATCCATTTTCCAAATCTCAAAATCGTAATGAGCAGCAATGGATAAGAGAATCCTAATGGATTTAAGCATGGCTACTGGCGAAAAAGTTTCCTCATAATCGATCCCTTCTTTTTGAATAAACCCTTTTGCAACAAGCCTAGCTTTAAAAGTTTGCACTTTTACATCCACTCCTCTCTTTTTCTTATAGATCCATCTACAACCAATGGGTTTGACTCCAATAGGTGGTTCTACAAGATCCCAGACTCGATTGGAGTACATGGACTCCATTTCAGATTTCATAGCAGCAACCCATTTATCAGCATCTGTATCATGTAGTGCTTCGTCGTAATTAATAGGTTATGTGTTAGGCTCTTCAGGGATTCTGTCATAAGATTCTCCCAAGAGCGAAAAACGAAGAGGTTTTCTAATAATTCTCCCACTACGACTAGTCACTACAGGTGCAGTATTTTGTGGTTGTTGAATCACAACATCATTTTCCGGAACTGAAGTGTCAATGTTATCATCCACACCTTGCAGTGCTGGGATATCATTAACTTCTTCCTGGATTGCAGGCTGTAGATTAATTTCAGGTTGCTCAACAATCTGAGGTTGCTCAACATTACTCCCACTACTTTGGGGTAGTGAGATGTCAGTCAATTGCTCTTGTGCATTCTGCTTCCTATTGACATTTCTCCCACTACGATAATGCAGTGGTATGTCAATACTGGTTTTTGGGATACGTTCCAGAGATGAGTCATTAGTTATTCCATTACTTAATTCTTGTAAAACTAGTTTACTTCTAGGAATATGGTTTATTAAATAGTCCCCTTCAAAAAATCTGGCATTTGTCGTAATAATTACCTTTTTTTATTTGGGACAATAAAATAAACCGCCTTTAGTTCCTTTTGGATATCCAATAAAAATGCATACTTCTGTCCTCGATTCCAATTTATCCACTTTCCCTTTCAGCACATGTGTTGGACAACCCCAAACCCGAATGTGCCGTAAACTTGGCTTGCGCCCAGTCCACAATTCTATTGGAGTTGAAGGTACTGACTTTGAAGGAACCGAATTTAGAATGTAATTTGTTGTTTCTAAAGCATATCCCCAAAAAGAAGAAGGCAAATCGGAATAACTTAACATTGATCTAACCATTTCCATAAGGGTCCTATTTCTTCTTTTTGCCACACCATTTTATTGTGGTGTTTGTGGAGCAGATAATTGAGATGTAATTCCATAATCTGATAAGTATTTAATGAATTCCACAGAAAGGTATTCACCACCACGATCAGATCGCAATGTTTTGATATATTTATCATGTCGTTTCTCCGTTTCCGTCTTAAATTCTTTGAATTTCTCAAAGCATTCAGACTTACGGCGCAACAGATAAATGTATCCATATTTTGAGTAATCATCTGTGAAAATCACAAAATACTCAAAACCACCTCTTGCTTGTATATTCATAGGGCCACACAAATCAGAGCGAATTAATTCTAACTTATCGCTGGCTCTATTTCCTTTTGAGGAAAAATGTCTCTTGGTCATTTTACCTTCTAAACAAGATTCGCATGTTAGCAGTGACTCCACTTTCAATGAACTCAAAGGTCCATCAGAGACCAATCTCGAAATCCTATTTAGATTTATATGACCTAGACGTAAGTGCCACAAATAAGTTTGGCTCAATTTAGAAATACGTTTTCTTTTATGTGGCAGATTAATGTTATTTAATTTTTTTGGTTGTTGTAGCACATGAGGAGATATATCAAGAATAAAAAGGTCATGTACTCTAGCAGCAGTGTAGATAAAACGTTTATTAAACTTCATAATAACAGTGTTATTATCAAAATAAACATTATAACCAACATCCATTATTTTCGAAACCGAAATCAAATTCCTTCTAATAGAAGGTACATAGAGAACATCTTTTAAAACTAAAACTCTATCACTACTAAACGAAACTCTAATATCTCCTAATACTAAAGCTGGTGCTGGCTCGCCATTGGCTTGAAAAACGCAAACTTCATTCTCACTTAGCCGTCGCATTTCCTGAAACCCCTACTAAGTAGTGCAGATATGATTAGTAGCTCCTGAATCTACACACCAAAACATGGTTGAGACAGCTGCTAAACAAGTTTCAACGACATTTAAATTTGAATTACCTTGCTTATTCAATTTTGCCAGATAGGCAGGGCATTGTTTTTTGTGATGCCCAGGTTGCTTGCAATGATAGCACTTTCCTTTAGGTATTTTCATACCAGTCGCACCTCCAGGTGCCAAAATCTTTTGAGCCTTCTTCTTTTTCTTACCGCCTTTCGACTTAGAAATCGAAGCTTTCTCAACATTGAGTGCCACAACTAGAGCTTGTTGTTTGATAATAGATTCTGCCATTTGCAGCTCATTCAACAATTTCGCCAGTGACAAATCCATTTTGTTCATATTATAGTTCAAGCGAAATTGTTGAAAACTGTCAGGCAGAGTCTGTAGGACCATCTCAACTTGAGATTCCTTATCAATCACAACTCCAAGGACTTCCAGTTCATTCAGAAGACTCATCATCTTCAGAACATGGTCCCTGACCGATGATCCTTCAGCCATCTTGGTGTTCAAAAGGGCTTTCATGGCTGTTTGCTTAGTCGCACGATTTTCTCTCCAAACATCTCTTTGAGACTTTCGAGCATGTCATAAGCAGACCACATAGACTGATGCTGATGTTGCAAAACATTTGCCATAGAGGCAAGAATGTAACATCGCGCCATCTCATTAGTCTTGACCCATTTGTCATAGGCCTTAACCTGATCATCAATAGCATTTTCAGGTTTTTCTGGGCACTCCTCAGTGATTACAAATTTGTAACCTTCAACAGTTAGGACAATATCAAGGTTTCTTTTCCAGTCAACATAATTCAGTCCTTCTAACTTGTTTTGGTTCAAAATTGAGGTAAGTGGGTTGAATGAAGACATGGTTAATATGAGAGATATTCACATTAAATAGATCATTAGTTATGTATTTAGAATAATTAAATTCAAAACAGCACATTACACATATAACCATGCTCATTGAACAGTTAGATTCATTAGGAAAACTTAACTATTCATGCAAAATATATGAGTTATGTAGGATATTCACCCCATAAATTAAAACAGGACCAACTCAGATGGAGAGTAAACTGTTAATTTAAGATAGGTAAATATCACTTTTATAAACTCTAATTTCATTGAATCAACATGTAACTCAGTTGGAGAGTTAATACAAGTAATCAAATAACTAGAGGCAAAACTATAGTAATCATCTATAATGAAGTTATCCGATGTGGAAGAAAACCTATGTCAACATATAAATTTATTATATTACTGTAAAATATGATTGGAAACCATGGGAATTGAACCCTACCATCACTGATTTCTTTTTAAGAAAAATTCTTTTACTAAAATAATTTCCAGAAAATAAAAAAATGGCCAAAAACCCATCTAAATGACCCCGAATGCCCAAAACATGACGTACATCATGAGCAAGCTGATGAGTATTGCTCATTGGGTCGTTTCCGATGAACCTACTAAATTTGATGTCAATCGGAGTCCGACATAATTTCATAATTCCAAATTCATGACCTATTTGTAGTATTCTGTTTTTGGCGTTTTTAAGAGCTTTTATTATTTTGAGTCATTCAAATCACATAATATACTTATGTATGTTAATTCATGATTTCAGAACTCAAAATAATATTTTTATTATTATTTAATAAAAACTGTGTTCGAACAGAATTGTAAAAAGATGTTCTTCACCCGTTTAAAAAATGCCATTGTTCATAATTGCTTATATTAATTCATAATTTCAGAACTAATAGCATTCAAAACATCCACGTTTTTATTAAAACAACACTGTTAATCCATAAACTTAATTATGAAAATAGTCACGTTATTCAACAAAAATGTAATTGAACAGATTGCCATTAAATATAACACCATTGTTTATGCATATGTATATCAATCCATAATAACAGAATTAAAATACTAATAAAAACAATTACGTTTTTGACATAGAATAATCATACCAAACATGTATCATTAAACAACATGTTTTAATATTACTCTATTCATGCTGTATTACATTATCTAGTTAGATGTAAGACGACGTCTGATACCAATTGTTAGAACATGCGCAACGGAAGCAAGCATACAAATCAGGAATCAAATACATGTAAACTAGAAAATGATGTAATTGCTAGATTAGAAGCACTGACCTCTTGAAATCGTTGCAAATGTTCTCCACACAGCAAGAATCCAAGGCTGCAGTCTTCTGCTTTGATCCTCGTAATACCTTGGACGAATATGCTTTGAGTGGGCAAGAACACTACAACTCTAAAAGGTGAGTTATTGGGTGAAAATTGTCTTCCTTAAGTAGACACGTTTTCAGCCAAAATAAGACTCTAAAAACGTATAGGATTCTACTTGCACCTCTAACTCTACTGGATGACTTTTCTCCCAAGTCACTTTTTACCCAAGTCAGTCCAGGTTTTTACTAGGCATAGCAGGGACCACAGAAATAATAAGAGGATACTAATTATAGTATTAATTCAAAACTTTGCATGAATTAATTCTTACTATAATTAATTGCAGTTTATTCCACTAAAAACTACAATTGATCTCCTCAATATGAATTTCGAAAATTCACTAACACTTATTTTAACTCCCCATGTTAAGATCCCAAATACCAGTTAATTAAATTAAATCACTGAAAATTTAATTTAATCAACCAATTAAATCCTTTATAATTCCGCTTAAACTATTTAATGTGACGGATACAAAATCCAGCGGCCGGGTTTTCACATGAAAACTTATAAGCTTACATGAAAGGGGTATCATCAAACTCAAAATCGAGTCATGGATTCTATCAACTAATTATTATTTCACAAATGTTATTCGTTATTGTCCAATCTATTAGGCATACACTAACTCTGAATAGAGTTGTACCTTTTGATAAATCAAAATAATAAACAAATCACATTGATCAGAATAATTATATCAAGATTAGGAGTATAAGCTCATTTTAATGAATTAGAGAAAATGTTTTATATATATTCAGTACAAAAATATCTTTTCTCTACTTGGTCCGTTCAATATACACTAAGTATACTAACACAAGAAGTGTGAGTAAAACCACTCTCATAATCAAGACAAATTATACTATAATCTTGTGCTACAATCATCAAGATATTTTGTCCAGTAATATCTTTGATTGTGAACATAGTTTATTAATTATGTGAACCGACAATTTAATCTTCTGTGCATGAGCTAAGATTTCATACACTAAATTGTCTACTATATAACTAAAAGGACATACGTGTAACAAATGATCTATTCAAAAAGGTACTTTATTGAATTGAATAAATTAAATAAATAATTATTCCATAAAGAATTAAACAAAATACTATGTCTAAACTGCATGGTTAATAACATATCCCAACACTATCTTTTGTCGAAGTTGTTAGTATGTGCATGGGTATAATCGAGGGAAAAATTTCCCCGATTCCCCGGTAAGAGAACGAAGGGGAAGCACAGATCGATGTGATTATAATCGAGGTCAGGAACCCCTCATATCGAGACCCGAAAAGAATGAACGATGTATCTGAGATCGGACACGGTAAAGCGACGTACCCCTGACCAAGTATAGCTTCTGGACCTCGGAAGACGCGATGAACGGTTATGCATGATGCATAGGGGTGTGTAATATTCGTCCTCAACCGGATATTACGGCATGAATCCCGTTCAGTATTAATTATAGATCAACAATTACTTGGAAAAAAAGTTTTTTACCTTTTTTTAGACTTGTACTAGGATTGAAATTCTCTTACTATATAAAGTGAAAGTTTTTATTTAGTCTCACATATTGTAACACGCAATTCAAAGCAATAAAAGTTTGCTTTTGTCTTCTAGTTACTGTTCAAGGCATTGCTCACTGGTTCTTTTCTTCATTCGCGACCGAGCTTGTACCGAGGACAAGTTTCATTGTTCAATCTAAGATCAGGCTTGGTCATTATATTGCATTTGGTTTGATCATTTATTTTATTTTTAATTCATCTATTTGTTATTCTTAATTATTCGTATTGAACTAAAGCACGTATCCTTTAAACCACGTACAAATTTAATTGTTACTCA